TATTCTTAGTCTTCCTGAATTGGAAGCCATTTTTCCTGAGGATCTTCCTCAAGGTTTCCCTAGATCCTTTGAAATTAATCTCTTCTTTCAAGATCTGCAAGAGTTTGTTGATAGTTGGCACTTCTTTCTTGAATGCATAGAACTCATGGATCTTTCTGCGGATGACCTGAAGATCGTATTCGTCTACTTCTATCTTGCCCTTGGTTCTGACACGTTTTTTGGGAGTTTTCTTCAACGTTTCAGGGTCCAGTAAGCCCTGCTCAACCAGCCTCGCCTCTTTCACTATATTCAGCACAGTGCGTTCCGATACACCTGAAATTATAGAGCTTTTCTGTTGAATATGTTGTAATAATTATATTTATGTTTGCAACAAAAATCACCTAACAATGTTTCTGCGATTTTTTCTACGATTAGTCAAAGATAAGATCTGCAAGGCACAATGTACAATGTACTATTGTGCCTTGCAGATCTTAGTAACATATGTTATGTCGTTGGGGCATTTTTATAGCTTTTCGCTATCTTTTTATATCACAAACAAACGCACATTTTGTCCTAATACATAGGATACACCAATTTAGAGCAAATAGTGAAACTAAAATTAGTGCTGGTTGCGAGAATCGAACAAGCAAGCAGCAAGTTACCAAGTTGTGACAATCATACAATCATTTTATATTTCATTTGATTAAATTGACATGTCATTACTGAGTTAAAGTAAGATTCGCAGTAGCGTAAATAAATAATTTATTAATAATTATGTAAAAAAAAACGAACATGTCAAAAATAGTATGTAAGTATGTCTCGCAAAATAGTCGCAATGCCGTGTAATAATAAATTGGATTTCAATATTGTTGTAAATTATAATTAGGCTGCAGCTTGATTAACGCAACGAGTAGTTGCAACCGCAGTAGTTGCAATAATGCAAAGTGTTAGGGTACATAATCAAAACCTAGGCTGACTAAGGCAAAGCATAAAATTTAGATTATTTGTAACAGCATGGAGATACATGATGCATTGTATTTGGCTGGTCATGAAGGGCATAATCATGATTTTAATTTTCGAAATTATCTAGATGTCATATGGCATTGAATCATATATCTCATAAATATTGGTAATGTGAAAGTGGAGATCTTTGTTATGTTTTGCAAAAACTACTTGACCAATCAGCATGAATGTTTAATTTACAAACATTTTTGAAGTATCACAGGATACTGTAAATGTATATATTTCACATTAAGTTTCATCTATACTCATAAGAAAGCAGGTAAAAAGGAAGTATTGCATACAAATTTGTTCTTTGGCTGTGGATTTGGCATGTAATTATATTACATTTGAAAAAGCAGTAATTCGCAAACATAATTCAGTAAAAAGCTGATCTTTGTATCACAAAGAGATTATTTATCAAAATCTATACATAATGCATTCAAAAAATACAATGTAAATATATTCGCTAGCTCATATTAGTCTTAATAGACTACTTTGAAATTTAAAATAACCTTTATCGTGAAGCATATCAAGTGCTAAGTTGGGTACAATAGCGGGGCAGAGGGTAACTAATATGGTAACAATGGAGTATCTTAAGTTTGCATTGAATCATTTAGCTTACAATGTAAATTGCAGTGAGCAAATAATAGCCAAACAATGTGAGCATCTCTATGTGGCATTCGCTGGAAGCAGATCTAAATCTAGATAGAGTAAAACATCATAAATTATATATTGTGTGTTTCGTATTTTCTATTGTATTGTGTCTCATATGGCTGGAGTCAGGAGGTTAAATGACATCTATTATGTTTGAGATAAGATTCAAGAATAGATCTGATATTCTTAAAGATTTCAGATAAGCATATTGCTTAGGTCTTTGTAATAACATTTTGATAGTTATATGAATTATTAAAAAAAAGGAATACCCCTTTAGTTAAGGATGAACAAAACCTCTTTGATTTAGAAATTCTTAAATACGATTAATATTACTTTGGATTCAGAAACAATTAATATTGATCTGATAAATTCCAGCTTAGTTATTATATATGGGTTGTGTTAAACTAGATATTTAATTAAAAATAATAATGTGCGAATGCTGTCGATAATATATCGGCAGCATTCGCACATTATTATTTTATTTATAATAAAGAACTTCATAAATATAAAGTTATTGAGTAACCATTAGCTAACAAAGACACGAATAGTAAAAGGCTTGGCACATCAGTTCATAGTCAAATACATTCGCAATGTGAAGCCAATTACAAAAACAATATATAAACATAAAATTTGATACCTAAATATTTAATAATAAAAATGTTAAATTTCTTAAAAAATCATAAAATACAAATTTACAAACCTGTAGCGGCGGAAACCCGAACATACACTTTACTTAGCGGTATTATTGGTACTTGCATCCGTTTTTCCTCATCCATAAACTCCTTTACTTTCAATATTATCTCCCGAACCTCACTCGTAATATTTTTCGGCATTTTGCAATACGACTGTTGTGGTTTCTCAAAACAAAAACACTACAAGAAGCCTCGCACCACTTTTTGACTTTTGTCAGCGTGACGTTTTATTTGACATGGCCGCCATTGGACAATATGGCCGATCGACTTATTTAGTTCGGATACGTTCATGTTATTTTATAAGATTTTATATTTGCGTATTAATGTAAGAACCAAGTCTCCAGTGTCTCTTAAAGTTATATTCAGCACCTAATTACGTAATTACGTTTTTTTTTTATTTTAAATATGTATTTTGATAAATATAGCTTCAAATTTCGTTCTAAAAGTACCCACTGCAATAATTATCGCAACTATTACCAAAAGATGGCGCGCACTGTCAGTGCAGTTGCATTGCATGTTATTCGTAAGCCAATAAAAACTTGAGTAGGTAAAGTTATTAGTCTTTTTGAGTATTATTGAAGCTATCTAGATAAGTAATACTAAATAGAATAACTTTATTGGTCTACTCTTTTGCCTCTATATCACATACTACTTTTGTTTGATTTTTGAATAAGGGAAACCTTTATTTTATACTTGTCTTTATTTTGTTCTACATTCCGCTACTGGTAAAATAAAATTTTTTGGACACTAGTGTTGTTGGTTGATTCATTCAGAGCAAAATTTTTATATGAAACTATATTATTATGTCGCGCCTTGAGAGCACAGATAGGTACCTACCTAATCCTATAATGATAGTTATAACTTTACATACCTGACTCCCGTAAAATACCCAAATTAGTCACTGGATTCGATGAATAAATTTTACTGTAATAGGTGTTTTATGACTATGTACTTATACATTTTTATGTGTGTATCAATAAAAATAACAAAACAAAAACATTACTTGTATTTTAACACTATTTTACAAAAAAAAAACCTGCTGCTGGTTACTTCAACCTAGACTACTTCAATGGGAGAGCGGTAAAGTAACAGCTGAGGTGTTAGTCAGGCGAATAGTAGTAGGCTTACGAGCCCTTAAAAATGTGGGCCTAGGCCCACATTTTTACGGGCTCTCATAACATGTGCTGTAACTGTGAAAATTGCCTACTCCGTCAGGTAGTCAGTCAGTTCGTCAGTTCTAATATAAGGTACCTGGCTTAAGAATTGTACGATACATGATAAAAAATAAAATATTCTAGTACTAGTGATTAAAATCTTTGTGTAATGATATAGATACTTTTTGTACTCACACAACGTTCATTTTACTAAAGTATTAAAATAGTTAATATTACTCTACGACGACTTTCTTAATATTTCAATAAATTATGTCAATTCAATCCATCATTTTCTCGTGTCACTAAATTTCTCATTGAGAGATTTAACGGGGTGGTGTAAAAATCTTCGTGATTCCATTGGATTAAGATATGTTTCAATTTAATCAAGGTATGGATTCATATCATTACCATAAGTGCATCATTATACCAGAAAAGGATGTTTTGGACGTTGATATCGTAGGAACAGGTCAGTTATCAAGCTTCAGACGATGGTGGAACGATCTTTTTCTGCTTTCGTACGACTGTGACAGATCCAAGGGATTCTACACAAGTTCTAATGCACTTAGAATCGAAAGATACAGGCAGTTCCGTAAGCACAAAAAATGCATACATCCTCTGAGTAAATTCAGGTAATGGAAGCCCTAAATCTGATTAAAACATTAAGTCCTACTCATTTATGTGATTCCTTATAAACATGCGATACAACTATTTCAGATACTACTGGGATTTCATAATACTCTACGTGTTCGTTGCTAACAAATTTATTACACGATTAACTGCCAATTTTCTCTATGACGAGTTATCAATTTCGTTTTTCTATTGTGGTGCATTTTTGGACTTCATTATCATCGTAGGCTTGTACGTGGACATGATTACTGGATTCATTGACACCGAAAGTAGAAAAGTTGTCTTAAATAGAAAAAAATCCTTTCTAAATTTCTGTGAAAAGAAATTGTTTTTCCACGTATCGTCAGCACTTCCTTTGCACTGGTTCTTGTTCCTGAGATATGGAGAGAAGGTTAACTGTGGTCCGTGTAAGTGTAACAAATTCATCTGCGCGCTTAAGATCATCGGTGTCTTCGGCTTATTCCGAGTGATGGAGTCCTCCACCTGCTGGTGCCACAGGCGGTACCCTAAGGTCATGGAGAGTATCTGCAAATTTCTTAGGATCGCAACAGTCACAATTGTCACTCTGATTCAGTTGACTGAAATGAGCGACGTCTTTTCGTTACTGCTGTATTTTCATAATGATTATGTAGATGAAGATTCCATGTTAAGCTTTAGAGCTGGATTAAAATATGGTTGGAACGTCGATAACTTTATATTTTTTATGTTTGATATCGGCAAAATGCTGAAGCCATTAACTCGAATAACGCAGATTAACGCAACCGTGGAGCGCTTCGTTATAGATAAATTATTTTCATTCTTGGGTTTTACTATAACGTATATTTTATATGCATGGGCTATGGTTGAGTGCTTCTCTTTCCTCACACTCGTGATATCTGCAGAAAGCCAAAGGATGAATTCGAAGAAGAAGACTATGAACGTTTTAAAAAGTCTCCAAGTGTCAGATGAATTGGCATTGAAAGTGTCTGAATATTTCAAATATAAGTCATCGTCGCTAAAGTTGACTGAAGCTCGGAATGGACTCTATGCAGTGCTGCCACAGATGTTGAAGAACGAAATAAACTTGAGTTGTTACTTTAATATTATACTGCGAATTCCATTGTTCACTCAGTGGCCGATACCGGTATTAGAACAGCTGACTATTATGCTGAAGAGAAAAGAGTATTTGAAGAGCGATATGGTGACTGTAGTAAGTATAACTATCTCTAAGATGGATAGCGAAAGCAAATGACGATATTCAAATACATCAACTTAATCCAAGAACTACTCGTTTATTATTATATACTCGTAATTTAGTAAGATCCACCATTGTCATAATAAGTCTATATAAATTATACCTGAATTGAGTGCAGCATACGGAAAACGCTTACCCTGTAATCTCTGTCTTCTTTTATTTGTTATCTGTTTCAGGCTAAAGTGTCAGGTGATGGTCTGATGATAGTCCACGATGGAGTGCTGGCGGTCTACTCACACAAAAATAAGGAACTAGGTCACCTGATCGATGGGGATTATTTCGGAGCTCTGTCGCTAGTCACTGACAAAGAAGTTTACATGACCTATGTGGTTGCTGTGACAAATACTACTGTAAGATTTTGAAAGAAATGTGTACTACACGTCCGAATGTTACTCATATCACCACCGAAAGCCCATGACGATTAATTGCTGGAATTTAGGCCTTCGCTGCGTCAGAGGGATTGCCTTAATGCTATATGTGAGGCAGACGGGCAAGGTATAGCAAGGTTTAAAAGATTAAGATTTATTTAAGAGCGTTGCTGTCTAGCGTCGCCTAGTTGAATGTGTAGTTCCTTATCCTTATGACATAACAGGCGGGTAGAGCTAATGATAAGAGTGTAGCTAGCGCCGTATCTACAGCATAAATTATTCGGGGCAACGAAGATCCCGAAGGGCGTCACCAAAATAATGAAAATCTTCCTGTTTAAGTATTGTAGTATGTTGTAACTGTTTTAACTGCACCAGTGACAAAAATCGTTTATATGGAATTTCTATTGGACTTGCCGTTTGTAGGTTGACATTAACCTACATCGGTTCACTGGGATAATTCCTATTATTTTCACAATAATCGTTGTACTTACTTAGGATATGATGATGAAATTTCTTGAAGGTCCCCGAACTCGGTAACTTTTATACCTGCTGGGTGCAACGAAAGTGGAAGAAGCCTTAAAAGGCTGGCAACGTACCTGTGACCCCTCTGGTGTTGCAGGTGTCCATGGGCGGCGCCGATCGCTTACCATCAGGTGATCCGTCTACTGGTTTGCCTCCTATTCCATAAATAAACAGATTTTTTCTGGATAGTCACGCCTACATATTTATAAGAAAATAACGTACCTACGTTATTTTCTTTATAGATTCTCTTTCTGGGTAAGATGGAGTTTAGAATGTTCATGAAGGATCACCCACAGCTTTTTTATGGTTTTGAGATGGATTTGAAGAAGAGGTACAAGGATCGAGCTCGTAATCAAGATTACGAAACGTTGGACGGTTCAGTACGATCATAGTTATTATGTAGGTATAAAATAATAGTAGCATAAACTTACTTTTATGTTAAATTAAGAGGTATTATTGTATTGGTTGTAGTTTTTTTCCTGACGTCACAGTCCAGGATGCTAGTGCTTATGGTTTTAATTATTTGTAGGATTTAACAGTTTATTTATTAAGTGATGTTTAAAAATGGTAGTTTTTATGTTACTAATATGTGTGAACAGAACTGACCACCTCTTTGTTGTAGTGGTTTTGTTATAACTTGTAGTATAATTAATAAGAATTTGATTTAACAAGCGTATAGTTTATTAAACATTTGTGTGATATTGCAGCTGATATTAACATTAAAGATATTGGGTATAAAAAACGTGTTTTTATTCTAATAGAAACAGGTCGTTAAAAAAGAGGATTTTCTTCTGTGCCGTGAGTGCGTTTATAAACATACAATGCCACATACACAAGTCACCCAGACCCGGAAGAGCACTTTGTGGGTCACACAAATAGTTGTTCCGTGCGGGAATCGAATCCGCGACACGTTGCACGGCAGCCAGTTGCGCAGCCACCGCACCAACCGTGCAGTCACTTTATTTGGTTTTTGAAATAAAAACAGCACATTTTTGCAAAATACTTGCACTTTATTATTTTGACAGTTTTTGAATAAAACTTTGCGAAACTGTCTGATCGTTTGGACTCGGAGAGCATAGAAGCTGGTGTAGAAACCCTTTCATTTTTCTCACGCGTAGGACAGGAGAAACAGGTTTCGTTCCATGGTTCTGCTGTGATGACTGTGTACTTATTAGAAATTCGTAACTGTTCTCTAAAATCAATAAGTGAGGCCCAATCCTTCGTCCCATCCTCAATCCTCAATTAAAGGATAGGGGTATCCTGAAATCCTGATTAAGTATGGGAGAGCCATGCTTCGGCACGAATGGGTCGGCTCGACCGGAGTGATACCACGGCCTCACAGAAGACCGGCGTGAAACAACCACAGCGTTGTGTTTCGCCGTGTGAGTGAGGTTACCGGAGGCCCAATCCTTCACCACCCCCAATCCCTCTTCAATCCCTAAATCTCCAAATCCCTAATCCCTAAAAGGTCGGCAACGCACTCGTAACTTCTCCGTTGCGGGTGTCCATGGGCGGCGCTGATTGCTTACCATCAGGTAATCCGTCTGCTCGTTTGCCGACCAATTACATTAAAAAAAATAACACCCAAAAGAGGTCGGCATCGCACAGTAACTCCTTTGATATTACGACTGTCCATGTTTTTTTCGTCAGGGAAAAATCATCAAATGACTTCTCCCGTCCAGGGTAAAACGAGAGAGTGTGTCGGACTCTTACCGACTAAAAACTCGGTCTGTGGTGGTCTATGCACCGCTGATTGCTTGCCTCCAGGTAATCGGTCTGCTCGTTTGCCGATCTATGGCAAAAAAGTTGCACAATAAAAATAATTTGTATAAGTACTAGGATTTACGATGGGTGTCCAACAAAGACGTCGTCCATACATAATACATCGTGTCAGGCTGTCGTTGGTACGAAGAGAATTGTATTTTCATCTAATTTCATTATAATGCGCATTTGCAATGTAGAAATGGTCACCTGATATACGTGACTCCATGTTTAGTAAGGCAATTGTACGTATTTACGTAATAATGTTACGGAACCATGTTCAAGGTACCGCGATTTTTGTGAGGAATAAAGATCGACGGGCGAGCATGGTCGGGCTAGGTTTTGTTAATAAGCGGCAGCGGAATTATAAGCGGTAGCGGGAATTGAGTGTACTATTTTTTCTTGCTATTAAGAAAACAAAGGACATGGCCAATTTTTGTATGGGCGTTTGCATAGTTATTGAATTCAAGGTACATCAATGATTTTTGGTGTTTACATTCGTGAATATTGTTAAATTAAATTGCAAAAAATAAAACACATGAAGAACTCGTAATTACAACACACAAGACGAAAATAGTTTCACTAAACCTTAAATCGAAATAAGATTTGCTTTTAAAAACCTTAAGGCGTTTGAATTATTTATTTATTTATTAAATAAAACAACAAAATAGGTATAAATATTAATGGTTTATTTATTAAGGAGAATAAATAAAATAAAACTACGTAATAATTCACTTTTATATTTTTATTTTACAGTGTATTTTATTATGTTTGTGTATATGGAATGTTCGTTTCTGTATGGGCGTTGGCATAGTTACTGAATTCAAGGATCATCAATGATTTTTGAGGTGTTACATTCGTGAACATTGTTACTTAAATTGCGATAAAGAAAACACATGAAGAATTTGACATTACAACACACTAGACGATAATAATTTCACTAACCTTTTGTCAGATTACTGGCAATAAGCAAAAATAGGATTTGCTATTAAAAACCATAAGGCGTATTATTTATTTATAAAATAAAACAAAAGAATAGCTATTAATTAATAATGATTTATTTATTGGAAAATAAATAAAATAAAACTACGTAATAATTCATTTTTCTATTTTTATTTTACAGTGTATTTTATAATGTTTGTGTATATGGATTGTACATTTACATGCATTACTTTTACATTTTTTTAATAATAATTGTCAGGTCTGGAGAGGCTAAAAACTACGTAATAATTCATATTTATATTTTTATTTTACAGTGAATTAATTATGTGTGTGTACGTGGAATGTACTTTTTTGGCCATGTCCTTTACTTAGTGATCTGTCTGGTGACAGGATGTTACTAGCTTTGAATAATTACTTACACATAGAACGGTAATTCTCTCCAAAATGGTCCGTCAAAAGTGAAGTAATATTCAAATGTATGTGGGCGTAAGATACTTATATTTAAGGTTGCTAAAACGCACACAGAAAAAAATATGCTACCGTTACATTAAATGTTCCCTATTAGTGGAGTAATTGAATCTTTTACAAGTTTAGCTAGTATATTTCAGTGACGATGTATGTAAGAACGTATTACAAGGCCCTATTGTTATCGATGAAGTAAAATTAATTCTTTCAGTCTCGTCATCAAAGTAACAGGGAGCCAAACTCATATAGCTACATTTCATTTTGTCTGAATTTCTGGAATGTGGTTAGGTCTATTACTGACTTTACGCTCATTCGAAAAGACAAACACTTCCTATACGAAACTCAAAACAACTTCAAAAACCTTATTCATAATGTTATACAAAATACATACCTCGCTCTTTTCGTGTGGCAGTCCACACCCGAACATGTCAGAAGCTATTATCTTCATCAGCCCACATCATTGCGTTGCGGTCCCTTGATCTCATTATATCATTCAGATCATCATATCTGCTTGACAGCTGTTTTACGGAAATGTAAGCATAACTACTTTTAGGAAAAACAGGTTCATTTACAGTCACTTACATTCCATAATCGACCTTAGCATGAGGACGCAAGTGCTGTTTTGTTAGTGCAACGGCTGCAACCTCGTTTGATATGCTGGGTCGGTCACATACGGTTCGATTTTGCGAACTACATATATTGTATTGTGTGATCGGCTTTTCACTAAAATAACGTGCTATGATTTTAAGTTTTATCTGTATAACAGTTTTTGGAAATCGATTGTGACTTGTGTGAAAACAATAAAAGATAGCAGTTCTTTACTTATAATTTAGTGGTTGTATAATTAAAATAATGTTTCTTTAAAGGACACAATTTCTTTAACAGACCTGTGATTTTCTTCCATATATAATTATACCAAAAAAATGAATGTACTAACATTTTTGTTATTACATAAAAAATGTGCTATTAAATAATTGTATTATCATTTCGTTCATTTAAAAATACTGTAAGAATGAAACTTTACCCTTACCTAAATTTCTTTTCTAAATTTCTTTAATAAACACAAAATTTTCGATAAAAAATCCACATACCTCTCGTAATTCTTACAGCCGGCGACAAGAGGAAAAAATTTAAAGATTTCAAAATTGTCTCGAACAAGAATTTATCGAGAGCGCCTCCCACGCTTCGATATTTTTTTTTGGGCGAATTCTTCGGGGATTAATTATAATAAATTATTATTTAACATTTTCATTGTTTGGAATCTTTAGAAGCCCTCTATAAATTCCTTAACGATTGATACGCTTAGGTTGCCAATAAAGGAGGTTATCTCATACGGCTTAAGTAGGTACATGGTGTTGTTCTGTATCTACAGGGTGTGTGTCACAAATAGTGGTGCAGACTTAAGTGTTTCATATAACAGATATTCGTCAACGTATCTAACATTTTGTTGTTTTTAATGAACTTGCTACCTTTCATTGTGAACTTGGCTGCAGATTTCACAAAATATATTTTCTTTTGCTGCTGCTGCTAATGTATACTGTATCGATAAACAGAAAAAAACGGAAACTAATAGGTCACCTTTTTATTTGAGGGGGAAAGATCATCAAATTACTTCTCTTGCGTCTCCCGTTTCTTCTCTTGCCCTAGGCCGAGGCTGCCGTACCTTATTGACCTTGATCCGCAACACCAGCTAAACATCGGCCCTGTTGGGCTCCATCTGTTGTGAACTGTAGGCTCCTTGAGGCGCGGACGAAATGCTACGCGCCGTACGCTCTACTTGGGTTCTGATCGGGTAGCGGCCTACCCTTGCTCGCCAACTGGAGATCGTCACTCGATTCCCAGGAGTGTCACCTACTGCAGCGGATCACCTGCGAGTAAGATTGACGTATAGTTGGCTGCTATAAGTACCTACATCATCAGCCTATAAATACCTATTGCTGAGAAAAGGCCTCTTCTCACACGGAGAAGGTTTGAGCATAAATCACCACGTTTGCTCAAGGCGGATTGCCGATTTTCAATTTATAAATAGATGAGTAGGTACCTATATTTTTCAAATTTAAATGTGTAGAGAAATGTAACATTGTCTAGCTACCACGTCTACCTTCATAAGGTACTTATAGCCTAGTAATAGGCAGACAAATGATCGGGCTTTGTTCCCATTCAGTAGCTAAGTACTAACACGTGTGTGAGGCCAACTAAAGTGAACCATGCTTCGTTACGAATG